AGGTTCATTTTATATGTATATATATATATATATTTTTTTTTTTTGCTCTATTTAGTAATTGACCACTTGTCTGAAGAACTCCAGTTACTTTCAATGGGGGAATTATAGTTAAAAAACAAGATCTGGGGGCTTAGGGGTGATCACTGCTAGCGGGTGCCTCTGGTTCTGGGCTTTCTCGGCAGACAGCAGGGTGTGTATGTACAGTAACTCATGCCAAACACTTATTCCTATCCACTTATTAGCGTGTGTGTGTGTGTGTGCGTGTGTATACATTTTTTTGAGTTTATACTAATGCCCTTGATTCCAACCAAACAATTTTGAGCAAGATTGGTGTATACTTCTTATTAGGTTGTTGCTTTATGTCGTCCTACTGGATTTGATACTTTCCCTTAAATAAGTCCTATACCTTCTTTAAACTTCTCCTAATATGCTGCTACAATTTTTGTCAGTATCATGAATGAGACTACCCATATGTCCTTATTTATCCTAGAATGAAGTGGTTAGACTTAATACAAGATTAACAAATCTTGTAGTCTTTTTTTCAAATATATAATCTGTAGTCACAAATTTATCTACTCATTTGGGGCTCAGTCAAAAGTAGCAAGAGCCTTGAGAGAAACTTGTATGTGATGATCCAGTGTGTGTGTTAGAAAAGGTCATTTTCACCTGTCCTCTGAGCTCACAGGCAAGCATAGGTGTTTAACTAGGAGACACACAGTACCTAAATATCAAACAAACCCATATAAAGATTAGTTGACTTAAAAAGTGTCAGAATTTGGAAGGTCTGGTATACTAAAAATCAGCAAGAACATATGAACACCTAATACGAACAAGCTTGATTTAATAAGAGATCTATGTATAATTTTGGGCCCTACAAGTTGATAATATAAACCATGAGCTTCTGTTTCTCAGAAACTTTATGAACTTGATAGTGTACGTGGTCACAAAGAATGTCCTAATGCATTTTTAAAATAATGATTTGAGGGCTTCCCCAGTGGCTCAGAGGTTGAACGCTGGGTTGTGAGGCTGCCTGCAGCCTCTGCAACGCCGGTTGTATCCCCGGCCGCCGGGTGAGGGTCCCACATGGCGCGCAGACCTCTCCTGCTGCCTGCTGCTCTTGCTACTTCTGACCTTAAATTTAACTTTGACTATAGCTTTTCCCTCCCAGTTTTTCCCCAATAACTCTGTCCTTCCTATTTCCATAACCTTTCCTCATTCATTCTATTTTGATTACTATACATTTTACTTTAATTTCTTTTATCTTTTTCCCAATTTTTACTCTCTTGGTCAGGTTTTTGTTTTTCTCCATGTTCTTTCAATTTGCCCCCACTTTTCAAGCCTTAAAGCAGTTACCTTCCGTTTTCAAACAATCCTAATAAAATCACTTTTTCTTCTAACATCAAAATGTCAGCATCAAATCCTCCCCTTGAAAGATGCTTTATAGCCAATGGATCCCCCAGGCATCAAAGTGGAAACCCTTTAAGACACCTTTACTTTCCCTCTCAACTCCAAGGCTTTGTTCACACTCGATTATTTTCAGTTCCAGATGACGAGGAATTTTCCATTATAGCATATTTCTTCAGTTTCAAGAATTCTTATGACACTTAACAGCCTAACATCTTTGTCAGATTATCATGCCACATACTTCAGTAACTGTGCCACAAATTTTATTCTACCCACCTCTTCATCTCCCTACCTAGAAATTTCTCTTCTAGTAAGTTTCCATTGGTTCAGGTGCTTTCTCAGGGTTTCTAAAATCATCCACAGTACATGTTCGCTGCCTTGGCATGTGGGTGGTTGGACACGTAATTCTTCTGTCTCAGAGTCTGTTGTGTAGCTTCCAGTGCTGCGGGACAAGTCTGGCCTTAGACTCCCATGACTTTCTCTGTAGATGACAGTATGTTGGGGAAGTCTGGGGTTCTTTATTTAGCCTCAAAGTAAACAAAAGTAATGGCTAGGAAGTGGGCATCTGTTTATTTCATGTTTTCATCCCTTCAGATATCAAGGGGATGGTTCCCTACTGGCCAATTCATTTGTAGCATCCCACCCCTCTGTTCCACTTTGTCCTTTCGGGATGTGCTAGCATGAGGCTCAGAGGACCAATGACAGTGCCTCCCCTTTTCTTTCCTGATCTCCAGCTCATGATGGTAAATGCTCAGGAGTTAGAGACTTTTTGTCCATGTGTCCTTTGGGTCACCAATGTAGATCTCTTTGTTAATACGCTGAATTCTTTTAATTCCCCAAGTCAGTTTTGTTGCACAGCCCACAAAGTCTTAGTGCTCTGTCTGGATATCCCTGGAAGCTGTTATGACTGAGGGTTGTCATTAGGTGCTTCCGCCAGCCCTACTCAATGATTACAGCAGGGACCCTCGGGCTTTCTGAGTGCCAGTGTCCCTCCACCACGTGCTCATGGTTGTGTGTGCTCAGTAGTCAGGTGCAGTCGTTGGATGTTAATGGGAGACACATCAGCTTCTGCTCCTTGGAGCCAGGACTGAGCAAACATGAGCTGTTGTGGCACAAGGAGGGTCTTTCTCTCGGTCTGTATAGAAATCTTCCGTAACCTCGAAACCAGGACAGCTCAGCTCTTGATGCAGCTCCCCTCCAGAACCTCAGGCTTCTGCTGTGTGCTCCATAGCCCTGCTGGCTGAGCCCATCCCTGAAACAGCAGCATCCGGTCTTCCCACTAAGTCATCATCCTCACCCCATCTTAGCTCCACTCAGCCCCAAGTGAAGCCCAGACCATCCAGGACCAGTACTCAAAGATCCTGGGGCAGTGGTTTTCTCAAAGTTCCCCTGCTTCCTGCTGGCCCAATTCTTCTGACTCTCACAGTTTCAGATCATTTGGGTAGAAGCTCTTTTCGGTGCATGGCAAGACAGGATATAATACATCAACTTAAACTATTTACTTTCAGAAAACAATTCATGTGTTTTGAGATAGATGTCGGTGATTTTTTTTCCTCTTTGATCTATTATTCCATTACTAAATATCTAGCCTCAGGAAATCCAGTTTAATCAAAAAATGTTATATGAAGACCCTCATTATTTATAAAGTAAAATATGGCAAACCACCTAACTGTCCATCACTGAGAGGATGGCTAGGGACCCATCCCTGGTGAACCAGGCATTGATGGCTTTGAAAGTCATATAATAACATGGAAAAATGCTTCAAAGTCACCAGTGCAGTGAATAAAGGACATACATTCATGTGTATTATGTGAACCCAAATAGGAAATATGCAAAAAATTGCCAGGCAAGGGAAATACACCAAAATGCCAAGCATGATAACATTCAGGATGTTTAAAGGGATTTTTTCACCCCCATCTGCCTGTTTTTCTTCTACTTCTCAAAGTAAATATGATAGGCAATAAAATGTAGTTTAAAATACTCTCTATAAGCCATCTACACAGCTTACAGAGTCAAAGACTGAGAATTGATCAGGTCATTGTACCATGTAAATGGTTTCTCCAGAAAGGGTTTAAAGTGATATTGATGGTTTTCTGGGACTTTAAACTCTGTCTTAGCAAATGTTTTGAGTCAACATCCCCCCAACCTTCATTGGACTGATCATTTGCTCAAACAAGTCTTTCCTGAAGCTGTTGAAGAGAACATCTCCCTGGCATCACAGAGGACATGGGGATAAGGAAGGTCTATGGTTCACAACCCCAGAGACCCCACGTGGCAGCAGGGGCAGAGGGCCCCACACCACCTGCAAGAGGCATAAAGCCAGGGACAGGTGGGCACTTATGAGCTGGCGAAGCAGCAGCTGGAGCTAGATCTGCCCATTCAGACAGCTTTCCGGCCAGAGAGCAGCTAGCTGTGTGGGCGTCATGGATCCACTGGGAACCCCTCTCTCTCCCTACACTACAGTGGCATCCCCAGCAAGGAAGTCACATCTGGGTGAACAATGTTCTCTGTCTTTTAAATTTACGCTTTTCTCTAGGCGTCACCAGTGACAACCATTTCAATTCTGTGTAACATTTCTGGGTCGCTAACAGCAGCGTCACATGGCAGTGTCTACTTCAACACAGTCCTGCACCCTCTGAAATGGATTTGACCCCTTCGACGTTGCAGGAATGTCTGCAGATAGGCTCTGTGTACACACCAAAGCTGCAGTCCCTCCTTGGCCACTGAATCCAGACCCTTCGGTGGCCTGGATGAAGCCAAGGGGCTGCAAGTGAATCTATTGTGGCCTTTTGTGGGAGGACCGGGTTCTACAGTGTTACCACCCCCCTAAATTAGAAAATTAATCCCACTAATTCCATACCTGGGAATTGATCCTAGGGAAATAATTCTGAATTTAAAAAGGAAAAGGGTTACCCCATGAAGATGTTCATGAGAGCCTTATTTTAAGTGGATTCTATCTAAATGCCCAACTTGGGGGAATGATTAATCTATGGTCGATTCACTGGTGGAAAAATCTGTCATTTACATGCTAATGAAGACTAGGTAATAGTATGGAAAGTGTTATAATTCTGATCTTAAACCATGGTTGTCAACCAGGTTGCTGCCAGGGGACATTTCACAATATCTGGAGATTGTCACGGTTAAATTAAATGGGGGAAATGAGGGTTTCTGGCATCTGGCAGGGAGAGGACAGGATGCCACTAAACACTGACAATGCACAGGACGACCCCCAACCCAAAGGATGACCCAGCCCCCCAAGTCAAGAGTACCATGAAGTTTAAGAAAAAACAAACATGCTTTAAAGAATGAACATGTATTATGATGACACTTAGAGAATGCACTGGTCCAGGAAAGGAAGGATGCATAGAGTGTAGATTCTACAATAACTATGTGCCTGTCTCCTCCCCCAAGTGACAAATCTACACTTTTCATACAATCTGGTCAGTGGTTTTATATTTTCTAAGCATTTGTGTAAAATGAGCCTGAGTTTTTCAATGGGCTTACTAATGACCTCAGATACCATTATTAGTAATGGGATGATAAATGCACAGTTCATTCTAAAGCAGGAGAAATCTAAGACTTGTCTCCTCCACTAGGACTTGCTGACAGACTCATTCGCACTGGTGAGGGGAGGAATCTGTATAAACTTGCATGACCGAGCATTTCCATCACAGGAAGAGAATCCTGAAAGGTGATTTTTTTTTTTGTTCCACAATTTAACGGTTCAAGTGAAAACTATAATTTTCATATAGACATTACATTTATCTTGACAGAGGCTAAAGAACTAACATTTAAAATCTGCTTCGAAATGGAAAACTTTCCATTATCCCTCCCCTCATCCTTTTAAGACACAATTTTGTCATCAGGAACTTCCTATACCAACAGAAAGTGCCGTTGGCTGTCCCCGAGCCCCTACTACTATGTTCTTTTAACTCTCTACTTTCTGTTTTTATTACTTTATCTGTCTGTCCTTATTTTTGCATCCTCTTGCATCTTGATGCTTCAAAGCAAAAAACTACCAAGGTTGCAAAAACTGAACATCAAGGCAGAGAGCTGTACATAAAAGCCTGTCACACCCGCCTCTGGGTGCAGAGGCACCCAGCGGCTATCCCTGTGGCTGGTGTGTGGTGTGTGTGTTACTTGTTGAGGTGATTTTGGTTTGTAACACAGTATAACCAATGGGTGGTCCTACCATACCCAACACCAAGGCACCCATAAACTTCCCTCACAGTCCATTGGGTCCCCCTCCCCTTAGACTCCCTGTCCCTGGTTTCCCTCTCTGGTAACCTAAATGCTCTATTTTTGTTTCTGCTTTTTGTCATTTCATTTGTTCTGTTTCTCTATATTCCACATGGGAGTGAAATCATCTGGTATTTGTCTTTCTCCTTTTGACTTGTTTCATTTAGCATGATCCCTTCCAGTTCCATCTTTGCTGCCAACTATGGCTGTTCAACAGTATCCCCTTCTCCACTGGATGGTTCTCAGAGAGCACCAGGATGAGAAAACAAGATTCCTACTCCTCCAACAAGCCCACATCAGCCCACTGGTTTTCCCAAGTTATCGCAAGAGATGGGGATGACCACAGACGCAACACATCCTGCGTTTTAGACTAGAAAAGATCTTCAGAGGTTGTACTGGCTACACATGGGGCCCTACAACATATACCAAGTAATTTCGTTCTACTGGACAGGGTGGCACAAAGACCCCGAAGTTCCAGAATCACAAGAACTATCCAGTTCTCCCATCATCAAACCCAAGATGTTGGCACTGTGTCCTTAACCCTTATCTCACCCTCTTTCAAAGGCCAGGCCTTTCCCCCTGCCCAAGCCTACCATCTGGTTAACCAAAGGAAAGACTGTGTCTGCATAAGGATAGGACAAACCAAAAGAAGCAAGAAGCAGGTTGCTTCAGCAGAGACCGGTTAAGGGAGTACCACTCACAACGGAAGTTGGCATCCATGCATTTCCGTCCCCAGGACAAGCCACAACAAGGCCTCAGTGGATGCTCTCAGACCTTGGGGAGGGATTATTACCAAAGACCAACAGGTGGCAAAAAGCTCCCAGGAAGGGTGAGCTTTTCTAGAAGAGCAACATCTTACATGGCTTTCACTGAAACGAAGCTGTGAGGAACTTTCCAAAGCTTCACCCTTTGTAACCACATAACCTACTCACAGATGCTTACAGCATTCTTTATCAAGGAAAGATGCTGGCAGGGAAAACCTGGGGCCTCTGGGGAAGTCTGTAGCTAGAAGGAGTTCTTTTAGGATGTGGCTTCTTTGGCCAGATCCTTCTCGATGGGTTGAAGTGCATCAGCCAACGGTACACACAGCCCTCTCCAACCACCAGCAAACACAGCTCAGGCACACTGGGATGTTTCTCCACTCACCAGGACTGGCCGCATCTCGCAGAAAACCAGGAGGGAAGCCAGCTCAACATCTTCACTGTACCCATTCTTCAGAGGGACTGACCTAAACCCTGTAGCAGATGGAAAAACAACAGAGACAGGAGATAAATGTCAGGCCTCAGCTTTCTCACGTGAGCCAGGTCAAGGAGCACAGAGGTCAGTATCCAATGCAAGGGCGGGGGTAGAGGAGGAGGTGTGGGGGCAGACTTTCTAGAAGCCAGAGTTCCCATCCTGATGTTTAGAGAGGGGGACTCCAGAAGGTAGCCTTGACTGGCAGGTCCACACGGAGACATCAAAAATACCTGCCACCTAGAAATGCAAATGACTCACTCAGAAGAAATTAAAACCCTCAGAGTATTACACATTGAACTCAGCATGACTGCAGACGAGGTTCAATTCCTAAAATATGCTCGAGGCCAAGAGATGTGCAGAGGGAAGGAGGCTTCTATGCTGTCCCCACTGAGGCCTTTACTGAGCTAGGACAGGGTGGGTTTCGCGGTTGAAGATTCCCGGTGTGGGGAGAGCTCCTGGTCCTGGCTGTTCACGGCCACCTCAAATTTCCCCCTCCCCCCCAGAAAAGCTATTCCCTATTTAGGCCCATAGTCACCGAAATGTTCTTTTTATTGGGGTAGGATGCTGTAGAGAAATGTTTCAGGCTGCACGTCCCAAAGGTTGCTTGGTTTGCTTGTTTTAATGAGGTAGGATTGAAAAAGGAAAGTCTACATGAAAGTCTGGACCCCACAAACTTACAAACCCTTTCTCCAGAAGGAAAGACTGCTTTCAGTATCAGTCCCCAGACGGCACATGCCTCTGTTTAACCATGAAGGACCATGCCCTTAGCTGAGCGGTTCTGAACCTCACAGTGTCCATCTCAGTCTTGTCTCAGAGCCATCACATGCCTCTTGCTTGTCTCCAAAGCTTCCTCTGGCACCCCCATCCGTCAGTCTCCAGGTCCCCTTACCCTCTCTTCTGTGGCCTTTACATAACCGCTCCGAGTCTCACTGCTGAGGAGGAGACTGGCATGCTTGCCCACTTTGTAAACAGTTCTCCCTCCCACAAAGGGAATTACATTTCAAACATTTTCTTCAAAAATTTTCAACCACACTGCAGAGCGAGAAGTATATAACAAGGACACTGTCACCTGGGTCTACCACTAACCTCTGACTCTATTGGTTTTATGACGTTTGTTAATTGTGTGCACGATACATGGACTTGCAAGATGACATCTGGACTCTTCCCGCTAAAGAGCTCAGCAGGTGTCTCATTCACCTGACTCAGCTTGTGTCCTGGGGTGACAATGACATGCAGAGAAATGACCACCCACAACTTTTCACTCACACCTGTCAGTGTCCAGGTTGCCTAAGTGTGTCCTCTGCTTCTCTTCAGCCTGAGCTTGTGGGACATGTAATCCCTGAACAGCGCACATGAGGATGCACATCGGTCCTGGAATACTCGGGTGACAGTCTGGGTCCAAGAGGAGGATTTGGGGGCACTTCTCTAGAGAAGCTTCCTGACCCGGTGCTCCCCTTACAGGTGATGTGATCTGTGTTGTTGGTCTGGTTGCTGTTGGCTTTTGCCTGGATACCCTCTCAACTCTTGTGGGCTAGCCTAGTGCTTCTCCTGTTTGTTTGTTTTTTTAAGATTGATTTATTTATGCATACAAGAGCTGGGGTGCAGGCCAGAGATGCAGGGGAGTGAGAGGATCCACCAGAGACAGAGTGGGGAACAGAACAGGCAGACTGACGAAATACACTGTTGAGGGGAGCAGCGGGAGAGACAGGAGAGGTCTGCTGCACCATGTGGGTTGCTCCCTGGCAGGCCGGGGATCAAACTCGTGCTGCCAAGGCTGCAGATTGTGTCATAGTGTGGTGCTTAACCCCTTGTGCCACCAGGGAGGCCCACTTCTCCCGTTTTAGTGTAGATGGGAACAACTGGTGGCTCTTACTAAAATGCAGGTTGCACCTGGCTGGCTGGCTGGGGACCACCTGAGATCTCATCTGTGGAGAAGCAGTCAGTCTGGGTATCAACTGACCATTAGAATGTGTTGGGATGTGGGAGCCCTTTGGGGAGGGCCAGGTAGCCCTCTGGCACTTGGTTCTGAGCCGAGAGGGAACTCTGGCATATAACTCCAGACCTCGAGACTTGAGTTCCGTCTCAAGTCCATGACCACTCCAGCTCCACGTACCCTCCTTGCTGCCCACATCTCATTTTTCTCAAGTCTTTGTGTATATTGGGATTCAGAACTAGAGTGTGGGTCTGTCTTCATTCATATTGGTTTAGGTTGTGTCAGAGCAAAGGGAAATGGAAACATCTTTGGAAGAAAGAGCAGAGTCTTGGCTGAGGAGGGCTGGGGAAGGCCAGAGGAGGCCTGCAGAGGAGGGGCAGGGGAGGGAGTCCCAGCTCCAGTCCTATAGGTGTGTGACCTTGAGCAAGTTAATTAACATCTCCAGGCCTCCAGTGCTCATGTTTAAAAAGCAGAGATGCTAAAACGCTGTGAGGATTAAAGGAGAGAGTTTAAGGCACCTCACATAATAAATGCTGCTTTCCCCGCCTTCCTTCCTGGGTTCCAGCTGGCTTAAAAGCTTATGTACATCCCTAATGACAATGGGCAGTTTTATTTTCAAGTTCAGAAGACCCCACCGCCATGCCTTATCCACAAAGGGATTGTTCATTTTATTTCATTCTGCCCATGAATGTGGATGTGCCAGGTGTCATCCTGGAGGTTTTGTTCTTTGTATTTTAAATCCCCAAGCTAAGTCACAGCCTTCTGCAGATGAATTGACACAAGGCGGTGGTGGATGAGGTGCGGGGCTCATCCCCTCTGACATTCTCCAAGCCTTTGGGAGGGATTCACAGCTCGTACCCCTCATCCTTAGAAACCACCTGGCAAGGAGGGCGGCACATGAGCCACCATGGGTGCAGAATGAGGCTGGTGGAGGGGTTAGGAAAGCGTGGGCACAGTTACCCTAAAAATATCTGCCTGAAGCCTTATCTACTCAGCTAATTTAAGAGACAAGTTACAAAGCAAGGGCTGCAGCTATAGTGCTGGCGTTCCCAACCCTTATAGGATGGGCAAGCCAACCAGGAGGGCTGCCAAGTATCAGACCTCTGGGATTCACACATAAGTTATAAAGATGGATATTTCTGGAGTGATAAAAAAAAAATTACTTAAAATTTCTCAAGTGCTTGTCTAATTAACTAACCTGCTTCAGGAACTTGTTTCCTCGATGGCAAGTGGCCCCTTAGCCCAGCTCTGTTTTATCAAAGGGTCATCTAAGGAGCCAGGTGACCAGGTAGCTTCCTGGGCCTCACCCCTGAGGAATCAGCATCCTGGGATGGGCCTGGGAACCTGAATTTTCGAACCCCGGCCCCGAATACCTCTGTTAGACAGGTGTTCAGTGATAGAAATTTAGGGAATATTTGTTATGATCCACGTTTAATTTTTTTCTAAACAACCAAGCAACATCTCCAAACAACACCAAGAGGAAAGATAGGAGAGTATACAGATCACCCAAATGAGTGCTTTTTCTCATGAAAAATGGTTCCTAAAAAACAGGGAAACAGTGACCTCGTGAGGAACCGAGAAGGATATATGGTGTCAGCCATCAAAAGTCACTCTGGAAAGGGGAATAGGGAATTCAGCACAGAGGGAAGGCCTGACTGCAGGACACTGTACAAAACTCCAGTAGGAAAGTCCAGGCAGTCCCTTGCTTTGTAACTGTGCCCGTGGGGTGAGGATGGCCACGGTGACATGGCAGTGACTTGGAGAGGTGGCCTGGAAGCAGCACCCAGCCAGGGGGGGTTGCCCTCACTGCCTCCAAGGGGCTCAGACTCAGTCTGGGGATTCTTCAGCACTGGTCACAAGACCCAGCTTGGTTTCTGGCAAACACAAAATGACCCATCCCAAACCATAAAAGATTTGTGTTTTATTCAGCTTGGAGGAAGTAAAGCAACCATCCCAATTTTATAAAAGGAGAAAGACGAAGCTTTGAGGGCATAAGTAACTTGCCCCAGATGGTTCAGGAGAGGCCGATCTAACTAAGATGGTGACTCACCCTGATTGCTCAGGCCCTTTGCACAGCGCCGCCGGGCCAGCCAGGGCAGGGGGCCCTCCCGACTTAAGCCCCTGGCCCTGCCTGAGAGAGGCATACAGCTTCCAACCTTTCAAAAAGAAACACTATGGCTGGTGGCCCAACTGTGAAGGGCTTAGCACCCCATCTTGCCCCCTCTCTCTGGGCCCCAGGCTCAGTGCTGGGCCCCGCCCCCGCTCTTGGGAACCATGGGCGTGGCTGTGCAATCCTCCCTAGGTTTTGCAATGACTTCATACAAACCAGGACAAAGGCTATTTTAGAGGACGATTCTAGCCCAAATGGAACACCTTAAAGTGCCCCTTTACCTGATTTGATTCCTTTAATGGGGTAAGTGGCATGAGCCAGAAAGTTGGGATCGCTGAACATATCTTCCTCATAAACCACAAAGCGCAGAAATGCCAGGTTTGGGTCGTAAATCTCAAATGTCACCTTTTCCTGTGTTGACGCCCAAACAGGGCTGAGACCATTGTCATCTGGAAGGAGATCAAAGCTCATTAGTTGCCCCGCTTGTCCTGTAGCCTCCTGGTAAAACCATCCCTATATCCTTGGGCTTCGACTCGCCTTGGCAACCATGTAAACACGTGTTTATGCCAAGTGCTGAGAAAATCTCAACCATCATTTTTCTAGTAAGCAACCCTGGTAAAGTTGGACTGGCCTGGCCCTCGGTGAGCAGGGGGAGAACACCTCCCCCTTTATACATCTCCCACCTCCCCTCCCTGGGACAGGACAGGAGGGGAGGTAGATGGCAGAGCAGGAATAGGTGGGTTTGAAAGAGAAAAGGGGACAGGACATGGGGACCATATCTCTGATTGGGGGGTGCAAGGCGCTGTGCTGAAGCAGAGCTGCTCTCTGCGTATCTCTGCTCATTAAGTATCAGGTATATCGGGGAGAACCCCCCACCCCCACCCCCAGCACCACAGAGCAGGGAGCAACAGCGTTGCCTGTGGCTCCCGACATGAGCCATAGGCAGAGAAGGTCGCCTTGGGTACCCACTGTGTAATCCAACTGTGTAATCACTGGCCCTTTGTTTTGCCTCCCTGAGCTGAACCAGGACAAGGGGATGGTGGCAAAGACTAGAGAACGACAGCTTGCCTGCAACCAGCTCCCTGAGGAATGGCCTGCCCAGCGTGCAACCCAACTCACTTGACAACGGAGAGGAAAGGGTCCGGGCAACTTACTCACAACTGTTGTCTTAAACTTATTGTTGTCATACTCGGCTCCACATATTTCCACCTCCACAAAGGGACAAGCGATGCTTCGTCCAAGTTTGGGAAGATGGCGAGCGCCCAGCACCTAGGACGGCAAAGGATAGGCGCTGGGATTCCGGCCACCCGTAAGTGCTAGCAAGTTCCCTGGCGGGGCTGGGAGGTCTAACCACGAGCTCAGGTTGGACTCTACAGTCAGACCTGGGAGTTCCCAGTCAGCCTCGATTTCTCTACTGGAGACATCCAAACGGCCATCTGCTGGGCTACCACCCAGCTGTGGACCAGGACGGGGGCTGAGGGTTAAGGAGGAGGCAGGACAGGAGCTCCCATGTCATCAGAATCAATGGTGTGTGGGGGGGGGGGGGGCGCCTCACCTAAGCACACAACAATCGCACTCCTGCCCAGAGGCACCCCCAGAGACAGATCCCTCACTGTCTCCCAGCTTCAGGAAACGATGGGAAAGATGTGTGATATTCTTTCTGCAACCAGTTTTTTTTTCCCAAGACCTTTTTTATTTAATGTTTCATTTTTACTTCCTTAATCTTATGAGACAGGCAATTCATTTCTCTACTTTCCACAGTTTCCCAAAAGGCACGCACAAAACTCTCACAAAGAGTCCGTGCAGTCTCTGAAAGCTGCATGAATTTTAATAAGGCTTCATCCCTAAAACTGACCCCTGGGGAGACACGCTCTCTGGTCCCTAAAGCCTAAATGGCCAGTTTTCCACAGGTTTGATTTGGCCAGAAATCAACCTTGCTGGGACCGCAGAGTCAGCTGAGCCTGTTTTCTCACCAACCACCCCCACCCCCAATGGATGAAGGGGAGGTGATCAAGACAGTCTGGGGGGCCATCCCTCCCCACTTCTCCCCTGCAATGGCCCTGGAGTGCACTGCGAACAGGCACCCTCCCAAGGCCTCCCTGGCTCCCAGGGCAAGGGTGGGGAGCATGCCATTAACATTTTTCAACTTTTTTATTTTCTTATATCATGGTTCATTTTGGTACAGTAATAGGTTTCTCCCCTTAGGTGGAGTCCCCACAGTTCTGCCACCGCATCACCCATGAACCATCACCACAGTCCCTTGTGCTCGGCATCCCACACCATATGCCTGTCATCTGGGGTCAGCTTGCGAGTTTTGTCTTTTTTCCAGACCCTTTGTTTGGTTTCTCTATAGTCCACCTATAGGTGAGACCATCCGATATTTATCTTTTTTTTTTCTAGCTTATTTCAGCTAGCATGGGCCCGTCTGGCTCCATCCACGTTGCCACAAGTGGCGTGAGTTTGTCTTTCCTGCTCACTGAGTAGCATTCATTGTGTACACAGCCCACAGCTTCTTGAGTCACTCATCTGTTGGGGGGCGCTTGGGCTGTCTGCATCGCGTGGCGTTACCTTGACGGTCAGCGTCATGAGGATCTTGCGCTGGCTCTCCGGCGGCATGGGGTCGTGCTTCTCCGCCCTCATGCTCTCCGGCTGGAGGACATAGCCCGTCCGCCCATTGAGTGAAAACAAGGCATGATTCACCTGCATGTACTTATCTGGGGAGGAAGGTACAGAGTCTTTAGGCATGAAGAGGCAGGTCTTGTGGCCCAGAAGGCACTGTGGGGTGGGGGTGGGGGGACAAGGACAAAAACCCAAGGACAAAAACCTGAACCATGAAAAAAATGAGAAGCTACACAAAGCTAAAAATGTCTATGTAGAAAATATTTCTTTAAAAGCTGATGTGCTGTGGAAAGAAAAATGCTTTTAACTCAATGACAGGAAACATATAAATTTAATAAACATGGATGCTATTGTTACAGGGCAGGGAGCGGGGCAGCCCAGACCCCGCAAACCCGCCTACTCTAAATGGGTTCTGCCATCCGCCACATCAACACAAAACATTTAAGACTTTCAAACCTGGAACTTTCCTTTTCCCTGGGGCCCACCCTGTTACACTAGGAATACCCAGGTGCCATGAAAAAAGGCGGGGTAAGAAGCAGGGACAGACAGGTCACAGGAAAGAAAAGGCAGCACTCCCTCAACACGCCCTGGCTTGACGGGCAGTGAAGGCGGGGGCGGGTGTGGAGCTACAGCAGCCCCGGGAGCCACCTCCAGGCCGCCACGTGGCTGGCTGTCTCCTCAGAGGCCACCTACACATGGCCAAGCTGATCAAAACTACCAGAAGATTTTGATTTTTACTTTATTATAGTCTCTTTCCTGGTCCCTTATTTAGGTTTTCTAAATTCCTGCTATGAGTGAGACCATCCGGTATTTTTCTTTTTCTTTCTGACTTATTTTGCTGAGCATGATCCCTTCCAGCACCATCCACGTTGCTGCAAATGGCATGAGTTTATCTTTTTGATTGCTGAGTAATATTCCATGGTGTGTATGGACCACAGGACTATATTAAAAGACTGGGCGTCCTGGTGGTGGGTGTGGTGCTGTAACATGAACTGAAAAAGGGGCTTCTGTATATCTAGTATAACGTGGTATACCAATGTTATCTCAAAAAAATAAATCAATACAAAAAAAAAAAAAAAAACCCAAAGCTACCAGAAGAGCAGCGGAGAGGGGACATCAGGCAGCACTGATGTGCCTGACGTCTGAAGTGACGCTCAGGTACCCCTTGCAGGTACCGTGACAGAGGGTGGTGCCAGCCGCACTAGGGAGGAGAAAGGGCTGCAGGGCCTCGCAGGCCACAGCAATGGTGGTGCTTCCGGGGAAGCTACAGACACAGCAAGACTCAAAGTGGCTCAGGAAGACACTGAAAATGACTCCTGAAGAATGGACTTCAACAATGGAAGGGGAGGGAGGAGGAGAAGAGGGGGAAATGGGGGGGAGAGGGAAATGGAAGGAGAGGAGGGTACAGCAGGCAGTGGGGAGGAGGGCAGGGAGAGTACAGGGAAGAGGTTGGGGAGCAGAGAAGGGGAGAAGAAGGAGGAGAGGAATGGAGGGGAGAGAAGGAGGGGTGGGGTGGAGAAAGCAGGAGGAGGGGAGATAGGAGGGAGGGGAGGGGCAGGAGAGCGGTGAGAGGAGGAGGTAAATGGGGTGGGGAAGGGAAGGCGGAAGGTTGGGAAAGAGGCAGGAGGGAGGGAGAGGAGGAAAAGGGAGGGGGAAGGGGTGGGGGAGGGGCAGGGAGGTGGAAAGAGGACAGGAAGGGATGGGGAAGGGAGAGGGAGGGAGGTGAGAGGGAGGGAAAGGGATGTGGGGAATGGGTGAGGGGGGGGAGGGTGGAGAGGGTGACAGCAGGGAGGGAGGGACAGAAGAGGGAAGGACTAAGGGGTTGTGAGGGAGAGAGAAGGGGAGGAGGGGAAGGTGTGAGGGGGAGGGAGGGAAGGTGGAGAAGGGTGTGAGGAGGGAGGGAGGTCGGGGAAGAGGACAGAAGGGGATGTGGGGGAGAGGGAAGAGGGAGGGTAGAGAGGGGCTGCAGGAATGGGAGGAGTAGGGAAGGGGTGGAGGACAGGGGAGGGGAGTGGGGAAGGGTTAGAGGGGAGGGAGGGAAGGGGGTGCGGAGAAATGGGTGGAAGGGGAGATGGAAGGGGAGGGGAGAGAAGGGTAGGAGGGAGGGGATGGATTGGGGTGGGAGGCAGGTCAGGAGAGAGGGAAGGGGTA